CGGCGCTCCGGCACGGGCAGGCCAGGCCGTGGCCAGCCACGGCGAACGTCCTCTGGGCCCGGCGCTATGGCAGGCCTCAAGTGCTCACCTCCTCTGGTCCCACAGAAAGTCCGAGGGGCGGACACCAGTGGTGGTGGCCGTGTCCCGCATGTCCCCTCCGTGAGCGACCCGGCTCTTCCCTCAGGCCCCGAGTGCTCCCTTCCACGGGCTCCACCAGCCGCCATCAGAGCCAACACTGAGACTGACCGGCATGTTAAGTGTATCAAGAGCCCACGAAAAGCCTCCCTGGTGGCGCAGGGGGCAAGGCTCGGCGCTGTGAGGCCGTCCACAGCCCCTGCAGCACGCGTGCGAGCCCCGGCCAGGGAGGGACCCCGGGGCGCAGCAGGCCTCGCCTGTCTCCCCGCTGCTCCCCTCAGCAGTGTTTCATCGATCTGCCTGTGCTGCCCCCCACTGTCTCTGGTGAATCTTCTCACCCCTGCACCTCTGACCTGTACCCCAGTTTTCAATGCATAAATAAATATTTTTTTAAAAGTCATGTTTGTTTAATGACCCACAAAATTAAACTTGTGGCCACATCACAAGTCACAGCTTAAAAGTGCTGCAGGGCAGCCTATGCCCACGATCCAGGTGCAGATAGCGAGGTGCAGCACTGAGACAATTGCTGGGGACCCCAAGTCCGGCTCAGGCAGAGTGTGGGCGCCACTGCAGACCGCTTCCCTGTGTGCCCACCTGCCGCCCCTCTCACCTGTAGGGTGTGGCCCTGGGCCTGGACACGGGCTCCCCACGCGCGCAGCCGCCTCACACTCAGCTCCACCTCCGCCCTGGCGGCCTTGGGCTCCACGCCGTGGCTCTCCAGTCTCGAGGCCAGCGTGGTCACCCGGCGCTCCACGGCGGCCGCCAGGGCCCACAGCACGGACGCCCGGGCCCCTGGAGATCGGCTCGCCCAGCTGCAGGTAGGCAGGGCAGGGGGCGGTTGGCACCCTGGCCCTTCCCAGGCACCCCCCATTGTCTACAACGCCTACTCTGGGGGTGCAGGCGCTAGGTAGGAGCCTGGGGGCGCACAGCCCAGCAGCCTGGGGCTCCAGACCCCGTATCCCATCAGCTCTTGGGGGAGTGCCAGTCGACCCTCCCCGACACCTCGAGAACCCCGGAGCCTGTCCTGCGGGACGCCCCCTTACCCAGGGGCGGCCTTGTGGGCGGCCTCCACAGCACCTCGGATGTCCTTGGCTCCACCCTCAGCCACGTAGCCACGGAGACTGCCAGATGAATCCTGGATGGGCCTGGAGCTCCGGGACCCTGGTGCCTGGAAGCGGCCCCCCACGAAGAGCCCATATGGGGGTGCTGGGCTGCAGAAGGACAAGGCAGTCGGTGGGTCCCAGGGCCAGACTCTGCTCAGACCCCATGTTCCTTGAGTCTCTGGGTGATCACAATCCTCATTAGCAGAATTGAGACCCTCGTCAGGCTGGGGTACAGGTTAGGACATAAGACCCTGAATGCAACTCTCAGTAGGACCCTGCGAAGGCTCTTGGGCACCCCCTGCTGTCTGTGGGGTAATCTGCCACAACTTTGCTGCTGTCCCCCAACCCAGCCATCCTGGGAGCTGCACCCCTGGAACAGCTCACCTGGGCCCACATTCAGGCCCCGCCGGTAAGGTGGAGGGCGTGGCCAGGCCAAAGGCCTCGTAGCTGAGACTCTCAGAGAAATAGGGCATCCGCGCTGGGGTCCCGGAGGGCTGGAGAAACTCGTACAGACCCTGCCAGAGGGGCAGTGTCAGGGGGCGCAGGGGGCGCGGGGTGAGGGCAGGCGTGACGGGAGGGGGCGGCACTCACGTCTGGGCCCCCGTGCCAGGAAGAGCCACTCTCCTTGCAGCCCCCGGTCGGCACTGCAGGGTCGCTGAGGCCATGGGCGTTGATCCAGACTGTGCCCACCCGGAGCCTGTGAGGGGAAGGGGGAGGTCAGAGGGAGACAGGGCGAGGGGCGACGAGGGGCGGACACCCCCGCGCCCACGCACCCGTAGCCCAGCTCCAGGGCCTGCCCCAGCCGCTCGCTCCACACGCTGGCGCTGCCGCCTCGGGGCGTCCCGTTGGCCACAGCCAGGGCCTCCTTGGCGGTGCGGAACGGGGAGGCGACCACCACCGGCCACGGCACCTGGAAGGGGGGTGAGCGTGCTCAGGGGCCTGGCTCCCCACACGCCCACCACAGGGCCGCCTCGGGCCGGCAGCCCGCCCGCCCGGCAGGCCCCTGCCGCGAACCGCTGGGCCCCTGTCCGGCCGTGGGTGGACCTGAGGGCTCACCTCTGCCTGGGCACAAGGGGAGGCTGGGGGCAGCTCAGAGATCAAGGTTGGGGGGAAAAAGGGGCTGTCCGAGGGCACGTGGCCAGCCTGGAACACCTGAGGGAAGACAAGAGACCTAGAAACCTACTGCCGGCCCCTCCTCCCTCAGGCCCCGGCGTCCAGGCCCCCAGCCCCTCTTCCCCAGGCCCCGGAATTGGGGTCCAGGTCCCTCCTCCCCCAGAAGCCTAGAGGCCGCGCACCCCACCACCCTTACCTGCGCGCCCTGGCTCTGGGCTTCACGCACAAAGCGCTGGGCCAGGTCTTGAGCGCCAGCCCCTCGGGCCCCCATGTCCACGGCCCCGTCCAGCGCTCGGCCACCCCGAAGCTGTCCCATCCGTGCCTGGAGCCGCCTCATTGTGTCGTCCCACACAGACTCCTGGATGAAGAGCCTGAGGCCCCCCTGTTAGACAAAGGGGTGTCAGATTGGGCCAACTCGGGGTCCACAGTGAGTGAGGGGAGGCGGGCCCCCCCAAACGGCACAGCCTGGGGGACACACAAGCACAGATCAGAGGAGGGTCAGGCCCCCGGGCTCAGGCACCGAGCCCCAGACAGCAGGTGGCGTCTAGAAGGTTGGGAATTCCAGAGAGGACAGAGAGGCTGGCAAGCCAGGGCAGCGGGCAGGCGGAGAATCAAAGGCGGCCCGAGAAAGGCAGAGTCAGGAGCCCACTCGGCAGACCCCAAGCTCAGAAGCGTGAGGTGATGAGGAGGCCGGGACACACGGCGCAAAGAGAAGTTCAAGGACAAAGAGAACAGACATCGGGGTCCAGGTCTGGGGACTGACACGCACGTCCCCTGGGACTCGCGGGGACCCCGGGGCTCGGGCCTCACCGGGCTGCGGTCAGACCAGGCTGCGTCGACCACGCCCTCCACGGCCGAGTCCACGTCCGCCGCCTCCATCAGCAGCAGCAGTGACTCGGTGCCCAGGGCCAGGCCCAGCTGGACACCCTGGCCGGCGAGGGCCCGCCGAAGGGCGCGTCCTTCCTGTGGGATCCCCGGCACTGGGTTCAGCTGGGGGGTCTCCTGGCGCCCCGCCATGTCCTCTCCCCTCCCGGCCCTGAAGGTACCTCGACGGCTCCACAGAAGGTGACCTTCTGGACTCCAGGCTGGGAGGCCAGGACCGGGCCCAGGTAGGCAGGGCCACTGACCACGTTGAGGATTCCTGGGAACGGGTCTAGCTCCCCAGCCAGCTGGGCCAGGAGGAGGGGTGTCGGGCAGGCCGGGGGAGTGACGACCACCACGGTGCAGCCTGGGAAGGCGGGCGGCGCAAGGAAACTGGAGTCTGGGCCTCTGGGCCCTCTTCCCTCAAAGTCAGGGTCCGGCCCCAGCCTCCCCTCGCTCAGGCCCAGGAGTCTGGCCCCAGCCTCCTCCCTCGGGCCCCATCCATCATTTACCCACAGCCAGGGCAGGGCAAATTCTCCACATCATCTCAAGGAAGGAGAAAGTGGGTGGCAAGATGAGTCCAATTACCCCTGCAAGAATAAACGAGGGGCCTGTGGCAGCCACTGCTGGCCACCCAGAGGCCAAGGGTCCCGGACTCCAGCTTCTCACCCATGGGCTCCCAGCCCGCCAGCGCCTCCTCCTGGCTGTGCGCCTGCACTGCATAGTGCTGGAGCAGCTGCTGGGCCAGGGGCACGTCCCTGTCGCGCACCTCCCGGACGGCTCGCCCAGAGACCAGGGACTCCAGGGTCCACAGCAGTCGCTGGTGCTTCTGGATTACCTTGGCCAACCTGTGGCGAAAGCACAGGAGATAGCATTTCCCACGGCCCTTCAGGCTGAGACCAGGAACACACCTGGACTACAATCCCCATGAGGCCCTGGGGCACCCCCTCCATATGCCAGAGGTGGTGGACACCAGAGATTTATGGGAAATGTAGTCTGCAAGCACCTGCCTTCGGTGCTGGGCCACCCTCAAGCCCCAAAGGTGCTGGGAAATTGAGACTTAGCTTTCATCTCAACTGCAATTTGGGAACTGGAATCCTTGTCATACTGTGCTGGAAAACAGGTTTTGGGGCTCCAGCAACTGTAATGAGCTGCATGCAGAGAAACAGCTCCACGGGTAATGTGGGATCGCCAACCCCAGTGGATAGAGGAAAATCCCCTTGACACTTGACAACCTAAAGATCGGGGGGTGGTGACCTCCTGGGCAGTCGGAAACCTGAGGCTGGCCCCTGACTCCCCAAAGCCTTACATTTGGTGAACAGCTATTTTGAATGTTCTCTGTAATACTGTAGTCTTACAGAAAGCCAGCTAATGAAATGGGATTGAGAAAAATCAGAAAGCAGAGAAAATTCATTCAGGACTGGGCTGCATTGTCCGAGACCGTACGATGACGTCATCTCCTGACAAGAAAACACAGGCTTAAGCGGATCCTGGCTACTTAAGGGTCAACTGAGCGCCTGAGCCCCTGCCCCTCAAGGCAGGCAGGGATATGAGCTTAGCTGTCAGTAGTGGCGTCAGCGAGAGTCAGGAAGCAAGTCTTGGCTCCCACAGTCTCCGAGAGGTGCTGGGGCTCCCTCCCTCCCCAGGCGCTCCGGGGGTCACCTGGTCAGGTACTGGGCCCGGGAGGCTCCAGGGAGTCGGCTCCAGTCCTGCAGCACGGTCCGGGCTGCCTCCACAGCGGTGGCCACGTCCTCAGCCTGTGCCTGGAGGCATGTGGCCAAGCTCTCTCCTGGGGAGATGAATGGGGGGACCCAAAATGGGAGGGGGGGCCGGATGGAGCTGTCTGTGGAACCAGGAGAGCCGGCTAGGGGAGAAATCTTCAGAAAGCTTCTCTGGGGTGAGGGGGGCCTGGGGTCTGGGAACGTCCATCCCTGGTTACCAGAGGAGAGGGACCCTCAGCCTTCCCGCCCTCACCTGTGGCTCCCTGCCCTTGGGGTCTTGAGCAGAGAATGGGGGACTGGGAGCGGGGGGGACACAGACGCCTCTCCCTCCCCTCAGAAAGGGGGGCACCGCATACCTGAGATGGGATCCTGGCAAGGCACAGAACTCCTGTGTTCCGGCTTCACCCACTTCCCACTTACATAGTGACCCAAGCACCGGTCCTGGGTCTCCAGCCAGGCCTGGGGGAGGGGAGACAGTTCGGAAGGGGTCTGGGAGGGAGCTCAAGCTCTGCCTGCAGTTTTCTGGGAGGGGTCACCTGCCCTCCCTTTGGCCAGTCAGCTAATTCTTTCCCTTCTATTGTCTTTTTTCCTTTGGTAAAATATGCAGAACATGAAATTCACCGTTTTAAAGTGTAAATGTAGTAGTTTAGTGGACAAATAGGTTATGCAACCTTCCTCGCTATCTCATTTCAGAACATGGTCATCACCCCAAAAAGAAATTCTGGGCCCACTGGGCAGGCATCTGCCTCTCCCCACTGATCTGCTCCCTGTGTCTCTGGGTTTATCGGCCCTGGACACATCCCATCAATGGAATCCTACAAATGTGACTTCGTGTGTCTGGTGTGTCTGGCTTCTTTCATTCCTATGCTGTTTTCAGGCCTCCTCCAAGCTGGAGCATCTAGCAGAAGTCACTTCTGTTATTTATTAATTTATTTTTGCAAAGAAGAACTGAGGTACAGGCCAGAGGTGGGGGTGAGAGGATTCACCAGAGACAGAATGGGGGGCAGTGGGGAGACAGGAGCAGTCTGCGGCGCCCATGGGTCACTCCCTGGCCGGGGTTGAACGCAGGCTGCAGTGGTGACAGGGCTGAGATGCAATTCCTAGGCCCCGAGGGAGCCAGGTTCACTGTTTCTGGCCACAGGAGCCTCCTTCCCTGGCTGGACGACCGCGTTTCGCTGACGGGCGTTTGGCGTGTCTGTGCCCTCCGGCTGCTGGGGGCAGTGTGCAGGCTGGGGGATTTCCACACAACTCGGGGTCTGCGCTTCTTTTGGCTGCGTTCCTAAGAGTGGAACTGCCATGCCCTGTGGGTGACTTCTTTTTTTTTTTTTTTAAGATTTATTTATTTGGGGCCCTCCCTGGTGGCGCAGGTTATAGCACAGCACTAAGAAGCTAAAGCCACTTCTGCATGAGTTCGATTTCTGCCCCGGAGGAGACCACATGGCGCGGCAGCCCTCTTCTGACCTGCCCGCTGCTCCCCTCAGCAGTGGACTTCGTCGATCTGCCTGTTCTGCTCCCCACTCTGTCTCTGGTGAAGTCTCTCACCACACTGCACCTCTGGCCTGTACCCCAGTTTTGCATGCATAAATAAAGTCTTTAGAAAAAAAAAAAAAAGATCTCTTGTGGCCTTACTAGTGGTGCAGGGGTTAAGTCTCAGCCTACAAAGCTGTCTACAGTCCCTGCAGCATGAGTTCGATCCCTGGCCAGGGCATGACCCACATGACTCAGCAGACCCTTCCTGTCTCCCCACTACTCCCCTCAGCAGTGGGTTTCAGTAGATCTGCCTGTTCTGCCGCTAGTGAATGCTTCTGAATCCCTGCACCTCTGGCCTGTACCCCAGTTCTGTATGCATAAATAAATAAATCTTAAAAAAAAAATTAATGGCAGCGAGGGCTGTGTGGTGAAGAGGGAGAGGGAAGCGAGCAAGGGAGCAGAGGGAAGTTCATGGGGGAAACAAAACAGAAAGCCAATCATGTCAAATATCACATTCACGGAAAGAAGGAAATAGATGGCCATTTTTTTGAAGAGCTTCATGGCGCTGAGACTTGACCCTCCGCCACCAGGGCAGCTTTCCTGCCTACCTGTACGTCTATATAGGCATTGCTTTTTCTTTCTTTAAGATTTATTTATTTATGCACACAGAACTGGGTACAGGCCAGAGGTGCAGGGAGGGTGAGCATTCCCCAGAGACAGAGTGGACAGCCGAACAGGCGGATCGATGAAGTACACTGCTGAGGGGAGCAGCGGGAAGACAGGAGAGGTCTGCTGCGCCCTGGGGGTCCCTCCCCGGCCGGGGATCAAACTCACTGAAGCGGCTACAGCCACCTTGCAGTGCTGCGTCCTAACCCGTTGCGCCACGATAGAGGGCCAATATAGGACCATTTTAATGGATGCAGAAAACCATGGGTCAAAATTAAACACTCAGTGAAGAAATCTAGAAGGGGAATTTCCTGCACTGGAGAAGGGCATCTGTGCCCCAAAATGAGGGTTTGTTCTCTTCCTCTATGTGGCACAGCAAAGCTGAAGGTGGGCAAGAATTCTGACCTGTTCTGGTGACACGGATACACATGTAAATACATATGTATTGCTGTCTGGTTCTCCTTCCCTGCACACCTGGTAAAATCCAGCTGTTATTACTAGACGACAGGTGCACTGAGACCGGGAGAAGGGGAGCACACCCTAACTACCCCTGGAAGCCGGAGCCTGGGGGTGCCCTGCCTGGCGCTGACTTCCTGGGACTGGATATCACCCTAGAAGACTAGACCCAGTGGCTTTGCGTGCTCTGTGGGAGGCGGGGCTCCGACACCCCCGTGTGGCTGTCTTCCCTCCCTCTTCGGCCGTCATCACTTGGGGGGCGTTGTGGACGCCGTGAAGACGGGTGCTGCCAAGGGGCTCTTTGGCCGGGGGCTTCTGGGGCCCGACAGCCCCTCTGCGATACTTGCTACGCAGCCGAAAACCTGAAGGTCCTGAAATACTCTCAGCTAAGCCATCCGGGTGATGGGTAATCGCGGGGGCCCCCCCCCCCTTTTTGGGGTTTCTTCCGGCCGGCGGTTGTTGGGGGCTTTTTTTTCTTTTACTGCCTCTCATGCTCCATACCTGTTTTGCTCGCCCAGGTCCCATCCTCCCCAAATCCAGCTAAATGCAACACACATGTCCCATGTTTCCTTCGGTCAACTGTCTCTGCTCTTAGCATCCCCGAGATCACATTCTCCTGTATCTTCTCTGACCCTGCCAAGTGGTCATTGACGTGGTCAATGAGCCTCATTGTTCCTTCAGGTCAAATGCTCAGCCAGAAGTTCCCACGTTCAGAGACCCCCTCACTCCAGGCGTCAGATGGGAAGAAAGAACAGACATTACGACGTTAAGTGTAAACAGGACAGGGTGGTTGGGTCACAAAACAAGTCTCCTTATCTGGTGGAAATGAGGGTTCAAGGGCCTCCCAAGGGTGGCGCAGGGTCAAGTCTCACTACTCTGAGGCACAGCCCCTGCAGCCTGAGTTCAACCCCCGCCAGGAAGTGACCCCCAGGGCACAGCAGGCCTCTCCTGTCTCCCTGCTGCTCCCCTCAGTAGTGGATCTCAGTAGATCTGCCTTCTGCTCCCCACTTTGTCTCTGGTGAAGCCTCTCACTCCCTGCAGCTCTGGCCTGCATCCCAGCTCTTGTATGCATAAATAAACAAATCTTAAAAAAAAAAAAAGGAAGAAATGAGGATTCAAACATTTATGGGAAGATTATATTACATCTGGCTTTTAAATTGTCTCACACTAGAATAAAGCAAACAAAGGGAGACACCCATGGTGACTGATGAGGCTAAGTGAAGGGTAAACAGGAGTTCGGATAGTAAGGACTCTCTGGAAGGTTGCAAAATCCCCCCCACAAAACAAAAACAAAAGCCCAGAAGTATGCTGACAGGCTGCAACGTGTGAGAAGAGGGCCTGGCGGAGGCTGCAGATGCCAGCCACTATTGAATCCAGATGATTTCTGTCAGGCGATGGGGAAGCACAGATTGCCAAATGTTGGGGTTTTATTTTCAAGAGAAGCTGGAATCCCGGATGTTTACATGGAATTGGTTGTCCACCCATTCACATTCTCAAAAATAAATGCAGGCCAAAGAAAACATAATTGTTGGTGCAGGCTGGCCCACACTGGAAGGCTGACTCTGCCTGGGGGGCAGTGGGCAGGCGGTGGACTCTGGAATTCTGGGGCTCAGCTTAGACCTGAGCCTCACCTTCTTTCTTAAAGTGCTGACCGTGGGCGAATGACTTCTCTCCGGGCACCCAGTGCTGCTATCACTAAAATAATCATCCCCTCCCACGGCTGTCCAGGGGGCAAAATGATTGTGCTGAGAAGGTGCTGGAGAGCACAGGAAACAAGCTGCTATCACATCACTCCCACCCCGCCTGGACTTCAGGTACCGGACTGGCCTGTACTTTGTCCAGATCCTCCTAGCTGAGTCTGCTATTTCCACCAGTCGTCAGTTACCTTTGTGATCCTGGCGACTCCCCAAACCCCTGTCTTCAGCCCTATGTGCCCCCACACTTGGCCCAAGGCTGTTCCCAGGTCCCTTACGCAGTCACCATAGGAGCTGAGCCTTAAAATCTCTGGGGTGGAGGTGGGGGACTCCCTCGGAGCTCTAAGGAACTTCCCTAGAACCTCCATGGTCTCTCAGAACTTCTCGGGGTTCCTCTGGGTAAGTAGGGTGCCTCAAATATTCTGTGATGATTCAGCCCCAGTAGGGATTCTGCCTTGGGACTCCAGTGATCCCGCAGGGTCCCCTAGCATCCAGGCCTGAGAAGCCTGGGGGAGACAGGGAGGGAAACAGGAGTCCGAGTGGAAGAAGATGGGCTGACCTGGGCTGACCACGGGGGGGGGGGGGCAGGCGCAGGGTGGGGACAGTCACCCAGTCACAGGGCCACCCCCCAGGCATCAGCTCCTCCCATTTCCCTGCTCCTCCCCTCCTCAGCCTCCACAGCCCAGTGTTCTAGGGAAGTTCTTTCGAACTCAGAGGGACCCCCCACCCCGAAGGATTTTAAGGGGCCTGAGGAATCATGAGAGCCCCTGGGACATTCTGAGGGGCATTCGAACCCGAACCCGGGGTGGTGGTGGTGGTGGTAGAAGTATTCTTAAGGGTTGTAGGTAACTGCAGGAGTCTGGAGGTCACCGACGCCCCAAAGGTACTGAGGGTGTCCTCGAGAACCGTGCAAGTCTAAGGGGTTTTGCGGGCGCTTGGGAGACTACAGGAGTCCCACGGGAGGCCAGAGTCCCGGAGGAAGGGAGACTCGCTGGGGCTCCCGAGCCCTCGGGAAAGACTCCAGTGAGTTGAGGTCCTCGGAGCACGAGGCCAACTGGGGGGCCCCCCACACGGCCAAAGAGCGGAGACGCCGCGAGCTACGGGCAGCAGCACCCGTCCTACGCTAGCGGCCCGCGCCCGGCAGCCGGGAGGGGCGGGGCGCGAGTGGCGCGGAGGCTCACGGGAGGCCGCGCGAGACGAGCCGCGAGGGACTAGGCGGGGGGACACGCGCGGGCCCGCAGGGCCTCACCAGTGCGCATGCGTGGCTCTCGGGCACCGGTCCGTACTCCATCGTGGAGAAGATCTCTCGAGTGCGGGACTCCACACGCGTCGCAGCCATCACCTGCCCGGGACGCTTCCCACCAAGGACTGCGGGGCGCTCTGCCCTGGGGAACCCTGAGGTCCAAAGGGCGGCACCGCCCCCTCCAGCCCAAAGGGTGGGGCTACGGCCGCTAGGGCGCCACCCCGCCTAGGGACCCGCGACCTCGCCCTGAGGCTCCTAGATGTGGAGCATGCGTAGTCCTCAGTCTGGGGACTGGGAGGCGGGGGGAGCGAGGGGGTAAGGTGGGAGGTCAGTGCCTCCCCTCCACCCGGCTCCTGCTGAAGTGCATCTTTTACTTGCACAAATGCATTTATCATTCATTTCAGAGGCCAGAAGGACATCTTTTAGAACGAACGTTGAAATAATGGTTTTCAAATTGCACCCAGGAACCCGGCCATTCGCAGCTTGGGGGGGCGGAAGTGTGGCTCTCGTGGACACAGGAAGTGTGGCGTTCAGGGACCGCGTGGGTGTAATTTTGATTGGTGGACGAGGGCCCGGGCGCGAGGCCTCGTCTCTGATTGGTCGCAGGCTGAATGAGCACTCGGGATTGGCCGATAAGCATAGGCGGAAGTGTGGGTGTGGGCTACCCGGTTGGTTAACCGAGGGACCGGAAGTGTGGCTCTCATTTACGCTCCGGGCTCAGGGTCGGAGAAAACCACTAGGGGTATTGGGTCCCAAATGAATTGACCCGGCGTCTGGTCTCGGAGGACTTGTACTTTCTGGCGAGAGTCTTATATTTCGAACGGAATAGTGGGTATCACGGGTTGGCGAGCGCAGGCCCAGATTTCGGATCCCGTCCGAGGCTACCCCGCGTCGGGGTTGCTGGGGACGCCTAGGTCTCTTCCCCAGGGCCATGGCGGACTCAAAGCTGCTAGTGCCGGAGCTCAGCGACGCAGAGGCAGTGGGTGCCGAGAAGGCGCGTTTGGAGGAGCTGCTGCTGCAGGTGCGGGCCGATCGGACTCCAGGTCCAGGGATGTGCGCGCGCGCGCGTGCAAACAGAACTTCAATTGCCAGAACGGAGTCGGGCCTGTGGGAATCGGAATTGCTTAACGCCAAGTTTGGTAGGCTCCGGAAGAAATGGGAGCCCTCAGGGGCTCCTCTTCGTATATCTCATATGCATGAAACTTATCAGTAAACATTTGCGTGACAAATGAGGCATCTGATCGTACAGACGCCAGACTTGGAGCTTTTTCTTCACACAGGCCTCCAAGGAGCTCCAGCAAGCCCAGACAAGGCCAGAATCCACACAGATCCAGCCTCAACCCGGTGAGAAAGGCAGAAAGAGAGGGATAGAGAGGTGGGTGGAGACTGGGGGTAGGGAGAGGTCACAGGAGGGAGGAAAGGAACACAATAATGGGGTAAAAGCTGGGGCGGGGTAGGAATGGACACAGTACAAGAGAGGTCAAGCGGGAGAAGAGGAGTGAGTAGCGGAACTGAGAATTGGAGACAGAAGGAGGGTCAGAGCTCGCAGGGCTGGGCAGGAACAGTCCCAGAAAGTGGGAGGCAGGACCCCAAAGAGGGGAAGATTAAAAGAACGGCAACAACAACAACAGCGCAACAAAATACGGGGAGGACAGTTGGGAACAGGGAGACCCACGTCAAGGCGACCCTTGCCACCAGGTTTCTGCGTAAAGACCAACTCTTCGGAAGGGAAGGTTTTCATCAACATCTGCCACTCGCCTTCCATCCCTCCTCCGGCCGATGTGACCGAGGACGAGTTGCTCCAGATGTTGGAGGAGGACCAAGCCGGGTTTCGGATCCCCATGAGTCTGGGAGAGCCTCATGCCGAATTGGATGCAAGTCAGTGCCCACAGGACCGGGAATCAGCCCTTGGTTCTTTGTTCCTCGGGATCCCAGAGCTCCCCCCTCACAGCCTAGAGGGCTCACCACCTTCCTGATCCTTTTCCCCAGGGCAGAACCCTGGTCACCTGGGCATCTGGCACCCTCTGCACAGGGCAACCCTGGTTTTGCCTGCCCAGCCAGGCTGGCATCTCGCCCCCCCACCCGAGGGAATAGTGCCAGGACACCTGTCACGCTCCCATTTCTCCCCCTCCCCTTCTGTGTGCCTGCTCTCACGTCTCTTGCATGTTTGTATGGCCTTGTGAGTGTTGTTGTTTAATCCTCCTATGTCCCCCCAAGCTTCTTGGGTCAAGCTTTGGGCAGCGCCCTGAGGAATAAGGACAAAGCAAACTGAGATCCTGCCCTTGAGAAACTGCCCATCTTGTGTTAGGGTGAAGGATATGGGTGGGATTCCACCGTGGTCTGATTGGGGCTCTGCTGGACAGAGCTGGGCACTAGCACCGAGGAGGTGTGGGGTGTAAGATTTGAAGGAACTGGGGGAGTTCATCAGGCCAAGGCAGATGAGGGGTCGGTGTCTGAGGGAATGAACTGGATTGGTCACTAGTGGGCGCAATGGGAAGAAATTTAAAGGGACCCGGTGGCTAGAGAAGGGAGGGCTTTCCACACAGGGCCTCCAGGGCGGCGCTCAGGGACCCAGACTGCGCCCTGGGGCACTGGGTAAGCCCGGAGGGAAGGAGGGACTGAGCACGGGAGGGGCAAGGTGGGGGAAGACTGGGGCCAGAGGGCGCCGAGCTGTGAAGTTCGGGTCCTGAGCGCTCTGGGTTTCCCAAGGCTGTGATCCCTTATTCTCCTGTCGTCCGTGTCATGGAGGCTGGAGGGGTCTCACCCTTTCTCTCCCCGCAGAAGGCCAGGGTTGTACCGCCTACGACGTAGCTGTCAACAGTGACTTCTACCGGAGGATGCAGGTTGGGGGCGGAGCTGCGGGTGAGGCCTGGGCTGGGGCCTCTGCCTGTACCTCCAGCCCTGCCCTCCCGCACCCCACATCACTTCTGCCCCTCTCACTCCTAGAACAGCGATTTCTTCCGAGAGTTTGTCATCACCATCGCCAGGGAGGGCCTTGAGGACAAGTACAGCCTGCAGCTGAATCCCGGTGAGGGGCGGGGCCTGGGCCGGGGGCTGAGGCTCAGCTGGTGGGGTGGCAGGTAGTGGGGGGCTGTGGATTTCAGGGGGAAGGCAAGGCTTCTCCAGCCCAGCGGAGCCGGTAGGGATTCCTGATAAGGCTGCAGACTGCTACCCTGTAGGGGGCGTGGTCTGGCAGCCTGGGGGGCGGAGCCAGGAGCACCCCAGAGGCCTGGCTTTACCACTGAATCCTCGGGGAGGTTGGGGGTGCAGTGGGTCACCTTCCTGACAGCACGTCCGTGGGTGTGGTCAGGCCCCCGGGTTCCAGGGATTGGTGGAGCCTCTCCCTAGAGACTCTTGGCTGGCAGCTCCCTAAGGCAAAGGGCACCCGCATCCCTCCGTCCCCCAGAGTGGCGCATGTTGAAGAACCGGCCTTTCATGGGCTCCATCTCGCAGCAGAACATCCGCTCCCAGCGGCGCCCGCGGATCCAGGAGCTGGGGGGCCAGTTTGCTCTGGACGCGCAGAGCCTTGAGGACGGGTAGGCCCCTCTAGAGCCCTCCCTCGCCAGACAGGGAGGGGAGCCGGCCTGGAGCCCACAGTGGAGAGGCAGGCCCCGCTGGGAAGACGGCTGCCTGGAGACGAGGGGTGGGGACAGCGGGCAGGTGGGCCGCTCTGGCTCCCCTCCGCACCGGGCGTGTTTCTTGCCCAGCCCAGAAAAGCCTCACCTGAGCCTCTGGCTGGAAACCCCCGACCTCCTCTTGGCGGAAATTGACCTCCCCAAACTGGTGAGTACTCGCTGGATCACCGGGGCTGGGCCTGTTGCTTGTGAACTGGGCCAGTGCAGAGGGAGCCCCGCTGCCCCCGCGCCCCACTTCAGGTGCTGTCCTGGCACCTTCCTCGCTGCCCCCCCCCTTTCTCCCGGGAGTTCGGCCACTGAACAGACTATCTGCAGCGGGAAGCTGCTCTCCCTGCTCTGTTTCTGTCGGCCGGTCGTGGGGGAGGAAAAGAGTGGGCTGACGTTTCCACAACTCCAGAATAGTGCCCTGGGGCTGTCGCTGGAGATTGGGGAGCGCCGCTTGGTGGTGGGGGGCCCCCAGCAGCTCTACCGTCTGGATGCCTCTGTCCCCTTCCGGATCAACTCTGACGAGAGCAAGGCAGCCTTTCACCAGAGGAGGAAGGTACACGCGTGGTGGGGCGGGGTGCAGGGAAGCGGGGCGCCCGGGGGCTGCAGGGCTGTACTCCTGGGTCCTGAGGTCTCCTTCCCCTTCTGCTCTTTCCTCAGCAACTGATGGTGGCCATGCCCCTTCTGTTGGCGCCTTCGTGACTGCGTCTGCCTGGGCTTCGGAGTGGGGAGCAGCTGGTGGCGTAGCCAATGTTGCAATAAAGCACGTTTGCCTTGTTCCTTGTCTGTGAGGAGTGCACGGCGGGAGGGTCGAGGCCGGTAAACCGAGGCGGGGAGTCCCCTACAGGTCGCTGCCCCAGCTGGGGCGTCTAGTGGACCTCAGTGGCCCCGAGCGGCCCCTCCCCTGCCCACAGCCCCTCCGCTCCCCAGCGCCTCACCAAGGAGCAGTTGGCGGAGTCCCAGGCTCCTGTGGTCTGACCGCCCTCGTGCCTCTGGCCTCGCCC